CCCGTAAATCCAGGAGACCTCCAGGAGGCAGGGACCCTCCCTGGGCCTGTGGGGGGAGGAGCGCAGCGGCACCCCGGGGCCTGTGCCAAGGCCACGCCCCCAGGCTGCCCAGCAGGTTGTCTGTGTCAGGTGGGCTGGGCCGGCAGATGAATGAGCAACAACTGTATACTCGCTGACCTAGCAGCTTTCCTAGAACCTGGTCCCGGGGCCGGGACTGTGATCCCCAAATCTGCACGGGGGGGGGGGGGGGGAAGCGGGAAGCTGCCTCCTGCCCCTAACTGTCCAAGGTGGTGGCAACGCCAGGCCCTCGAGGGCCCAGAGCTGACAGGCTCAGGTCTCCTGGGCCAGGGCTGCTGCTGGGCAGGGAGAGCGACAGGCTTCGAGTGAGTGGGGGGAGGGCAGAGAGCATGTCCCACTTGGGAGGGACCCAAGCAGAGAGGGACCTGGAGCTCCCCCCTGCACAGGTTGCCTTTGACGCCTCATCAGTGCCCAGCGTGGGACTCTCTCGCGGTCAGGGCACCCGGGAAGCACAGCCAGAGGGCTGCTTCTATGAAGGACACACGGGAGCCTCGCCCTGCGGCTGGGGACGCAATAAACAGCTGCTGAGAGGACTCCCAGGCTGCCGGGTGCCTGCCCCATAGCCCCCTGCCCCTTGGCCAGAACCAGCCCAGCACTGGCACAGGCTGTTCTGGCTGACTCTGGCCTCCATGGGCTTGATCCTCAGTCCCTTCTTGTCCCCTTGGGGTCACAGCATCCCTCCAGAGCTAGGCACAGGCTTCTGCTGAGGGACAGGCATGTGCCCCTGCCAGCGGGAGGGGCAGCGTGAGCAACAGCAGGGGAAGTCGGTCCTCACAGCCTGCCCAGTAGCTGAGAAGGTCACCTGCATGAAAGGCCTTCCTGTGAGCCCCGGAATTGTGGGGGTGGCTGCGGGCCTGGCCACCTGCAGGCTGGCTAACCTGCTGGCCGCTGCGGGCCGGGGTGTTGCTGCACAGGTGCGGGCAGCCCAGGACTGCAAGGCCAGGACACACGGCGCCTGGGGCTGTGCTCTGGAGCCGCTCCCTTTGCCGGGGTCTGTCCATCCTGCAGACGGCAGCGGCCCCGGGTGCCACAGCTGCTGGACATTCTGGAGGAAGCCTCACCTGAATACAGGAGTTCTGGCCTCATTGGTGTCAGTTTAGGATGTCCTCAGTTTGAGGGGGCTCAGGTGTCCTGAGGACTGAGACTGGGTGGCCTGGGGCGAGTGTTGTGGGGTGTATGTAAGGGGCCCGCCCTCAGGGACATGGTCCTGGGGTGGGCAGAGCACCGAGGTCACCATGCCAGCGCCAGGCAGGCAATGCGCGCCCCCAGAGACCCTGGTCCTTCCCAGCTCCAGCAGCAGGGCTGTTGCCGGGCCGTGCCATGCCCTGCGGCCTGAGCGCCGGGAGCCTGCTGAGCGGCTCTGCCTGAGGTCACCGCTTCAGTGTGTATTTTGAATATTTCAGCTGTATGTGCACTGCGGGGACTTGGCCCGTGCACTGCGTGTGCAGCTCATACTTGGTGGGCTGTGTAATGTGCGGAGGCGTTGCCAAGGGCAGCGGAAATGTGGACTTTTTCCAGTATAATCATGCGAATCCGACCACCACCCTCCCTGCACCTTCCCGGGCCTGTGCCGTCTCACCCCTGCCAGGAGCTGCCAAGAGCTGCTGGGTGGGAGGGGCACAAGGGCCGGTGCTTTGTCCCAACCGACCAGTGTCCCCTGCGCTGACCCCTGGATTCTCGAGAGTAGCGAAGTGTCCAGGGGTGGGTACCCCCCGGGCTGTGTCCTCAGTGTTAAGCGGCTGCCCTTCCCCGTGCTGGCCGAGCCTGGGGAAGTGGGGTGGGGGCTGCTCTGGATGCCCTGCCTGGTGGTCCAGGGCAATCCTT